GTGCCCCTCCCCCAGCCTCGCTGCTGCCTTGCCGTTAGATCGCAGACTGATGTTCTGGCAATGAGGGAGGCTCCATGGGCATGGGACCCTCTGGGCCAGGTGTGAGATATAATCTCCTAGTGTGCCGTTTGCTAAGACCCTTGGTGAAGCGCAAACTAGGTTGGTATTAGGGTGGGATTTTCCAGGTGTTGTGTGTCTCAATTTCCTTTGGCTAGAAAAGGGATTCCCGATTCCCTTCCCCCTGCGCTTCCCAGGTGAGGCAGTGCCTTGCCCTGCTTCAGCTCTCACTGGTCGGGCTGCACCCTCGAACCAGCGCCAACTGTCCGACATGACACGTCCCAGTGAGATGAACCTGGTACCTCAGTTGAAAATGCAGAAATCACCTGTCTTCTGTGTCACTCATGCTGGGAACTGTAGGCTGGAGCTGTTCCTATTCGGCCATCTTGGGCACGTCCCCCTGCTCTTTGTAGTCCTTCAAAGTGTAAAGTGAGGTTATTGGTTTGATAGTCTTTCTTTTTTAATGTAGGCATTTGCAGACAAAAATTTCCCTATGAAAACTGCTTTGGATACATCTTGTATGTTTTGTAATATTGTGTTTGATTTGCATCCATTTCAACATATTTTCTGATTTCTCTTGTGGTTTTTTTTTTTTTTTAAACTTGTTCCTTCTTTAAGAGTGTTTAATTTCCACATCATTGTGAATGTTTCCGTTTTTCTTCTATTGAGTTCTAATTTGATTCCATTATGGTTGGAGAAGATGCTTGGTGTATTTTCTTATTCAAGTTATTGATATTTGTTTTGTGACCTAACATTTGGTCTGTCCTGGAGAATGTTCCATGTGTTTGCACTTGAGAAGAATGTATCTTGTTGTTGTTGGGTAGAGTAGTCCATATTTGTCTGTTACATGTGGTTGTTTTATAACGTTATTCAGGTTCTCTATTACTTGATTGTTCCTCTGCCTAAAATGTTCCTCATTTAATGGAAGTGGGAGATTGAAATTTCTAAGTGTCATTGTGAGCTCTTTCTCCCTTTAATTCTGTCAAGGTGTGATTCATATATTTTGGGGACTTTGTTTGGTGCATACATGTTTGTAATTATTGTATCTTTGATGAATTGAGCCTTTTAATAAAAATATAATGACCTTTTTTTTCTTGTCACAGTTTTCTATTGAAAGATATTTAAGTTAATTAATTAATTTAGATACAGGGTCTTGCTTTGCCACCCAGGCTTGAGTGCAATCGTGTAGTCATAGCCTTACTGCAGCCTTGAACTCTCGGGCTCAAGTGATCTTCCCACCACAGCCTCTCGAGTAGCTGGAATTAAAGGTGTGAGACACCATACCTGGCTAAAGATATTTTATATGTTAGTATAACCACCCAGCTCTCTTTTGGTTACGAGTTACATGCAATATCTTTTTTCATCCTTTCACTTTCAACCCGTATATGTCTTTGGATGTAAAATGTGTCTCTTTTAGGCAGTATGCCTATGGTCCCTGACTTAGGCTGGGTATATTAAATACATTTTTGACTTGGAATATTTTCGATGGGTTTATTGGGAAATAATTAGTCATAAGTTGAGGAGCATCTGTATTGTTGTATCATGTTTTTTTCATCCATTCTGCCAGTCTCTATCTTTCCTTTGATGAGTTTAATTTCATTTACATTTAATGTGTTTACTGGTAGGTAAGAAGTTCTGCCATTTTGCTATTTGTTTATTGTATGTCTTATACCTTCTGTCCCCTCAGTTCCTCAGTACTGTCTTCTTAGTGTTTGTTAATTTTTTTGAGTATATATTTCTATTTCTTCCTCATTTCTTTTTCAAAACATATTTTAGTCATTTTGTTCGGGGCTGCCATAGGGATTACAATTAACATTCCGAATTTAAGACAGTCAAATTTGAATTGACACTAACTTAACTTTAATAGTGTATAAAAACTCTACTGTTATGCAGCTCCATTCTTCATCTTTATGTTATCATTTTCACAAATTACTGTTTTATATACATGTATTCATTAGCCTAGGTTTATATTTATTTTTATGTGTTTGTCTTTAAATCGTAGAGGAATTAAAAAAAGGAGTTAGAAACCAAAAATGCAATTACTGGCTTTTTTCTTTGCTTATGTAGTTACCATTACAAGAGTTTTTTATTTATTTGTATGGCTTCAAATTACTATCGAATATCCTCTCATTGCAGCCTTTAGGACTCCCTTTAGCCTTTCTTGTAGGGCAAGTCTACTAATGACAGACTCAGTTTTTGTTCATCTGGAAATGTGTTCATTTTTCCTTCATTTTAGAAGGATAATTTTGTGATATATAGATTTCTTGGTTGACTTTTTTTTTCATTTACCACTTTGAAGTACATGATCTTGCTGCCTTTTGGACTGCATAGTTTCTGAGGAGAAATTAGCTGTTAATCTATTAAGTATCTCATGTATGTGATGAGTTGCTTCTCTCTTGCTGCTTTCAAGGTTTTCCTTTTTTGGCTTTTGACAGTTGGGTTATAATATGTCTCTGTGTGAGTCTCTGAGTTTATCCTAATTGGAGGTCTTTGAGCTTCTTGGATGTATAGATTTGTGTTCTTTGTCAAATTTGAGAAGTTTCTGGCCATTACTTCTCGCAGTATTTTTAATGTCTTTTCTTTTTCTCATGTCCCTCGGAGAGTCCCGTAGTGTATATGTTGTTCCACTTGATGGTCTCCCACTTTAGGCACTATTCATTGTTCTTCATTATTCTTTATGCTCCTCAGACTCAATCATTTCAGTTGTCCTATATTCAAGTTTGATGGTTCTTTCTTTGGGCTGCTTATATCCTCTGTTAAACCTCTCTGCAGATGGTTCCCAAATCATGATTGTTCAGCTTACGATTTTTTGATTTTAGAATGGTGCAAAAGTGATCCATATTTAGTAGAAATCTTACTTTGAGTATCCATACAACCTTTGTTTTTCACTTTTCAGTACAGTACTGAATAAATTACGTAAACTATTTAACATTTTATTGTAAAATAGGCCTTGTGTGAGATGATTTTTCCTAACTGTAGGCTAATATAACTATTCTGAGTACATTTAAGGTAGGGTAGGCTAGGCTATGATGCTTGGTAGGCTAGGTGTATCAAATGGATTTTAAACTTATGACATATTCAACTTACAATGATTTTATTGAGACATTACCCCATTATAAATCAAGGAACATCTGTAGTGAATTTTTCATATTGGCTGTTGTACTTTCCACCTTCAAAATTTCTATTTGGTTCTTTGTAATAATTTCTGTTGATTTATATTCTGTGCTCAAATGTTGTTTTCCTGGTTTTCTTTAGTTTTTGAGTGTAAGACAGCTTATTTAACATGTTGGCTTAGTGAACATAATGTCTAGTCTTCTCTTTTCTGTGTATGCTTTGTACATTTTCTGTTTAAAACTTGATGTTTTGAGTGGTATAATGTGGTAGCTGTGGAAACTAGATTTCCCTCCCTCCGTGGTTTGTTGTTGATTGTTGAAGATGTAGTTTTCCATTTGTCTACCTACTGTAGTGGGTAGAATTGTGTCATCCAAAACATTATGTCAATTTCTAATTCCCAGTACCTGCAAATACAGCCTTATTTGGAAATAGTCTTTGCAGATGTAATCAAGTTAAAATTAGTTCATGCTGTATTAGTGTTTGCTCTAACTGAATGATGTGTGCTCTTCAAAGAAAAGAGAAATTTGGACACAGACTCAGAAAATAAGACAGACTAGGGAAGACAATTTGAAGACAGACATAAAGAGGAGAATGCTGTGTGATGATATCTTCTTAGCTGCACCCATATTAATGTAGATTTTCTGTAACGTGGTATGGGGATTAGAGATGGAAGATGATCATAGCTCAGATGCCACAGGCTCTCCCTGTTCTTATCAAGTTTCAGCAGATTTTTGTTTGTTTGTTTTGAGATGGAGTGCACACTGTCGCCAGGCTGGAGTGCAGTGGCACAATCTCAGCTCACTCCGCCTCCTGAGTTCAAGAGATTCTCCTGCCTCAGGTTCCTGAGTAGCTGGGATTACAGGCATGTACCACCTCTCCCAGCTAATTTTTGTATTTTTAGTAGAGACGGAGTTACACCATGTTGGCCAGGATGGTCTCAATCTCTTGACCTCGTGATCCCCTTGCCTTGGCCTCCCAAAGTGCTGAGATTACAGGCGTGAGCCACCGTGCCCAGCCTAGATTTTCTTGAATAAAAGTTTTTCTGTTTGCTGTATGCCCTTAGATCAATTTCCAGAGATTTTATAATTTTCACTTGTTCTTTCCCTGTTTGGTTTGCTGGGGAGAAGAGTTGCTGAGCTCCTCACATAGTCATTCTCGAAGTCCTGCCTCGTCCTTGGTTTTTAAATGTTTATTTTATTGTTTTATTTTTTTGAGACAGAGTCTTACTCTGTTGCCCAGGCTGGAGGGCAGTGGCATGACCTTGGCTCACTGCAACCTCCACCTCCCTGGTTCAAGCGATTTTCCTGCCTCAGCCTCCTGAGTAGCTGGGACTACAGGCGAATGCCCCCACGCCTGGCTAACTTTTGTATTTTTAGTAGAGGCGGGGGTTTCACCATGTTGGCCAGTTTGGTCTCGAACTCTTGACCTCAAGTTATCCGCCTGTTTCAACCTCCCAAAATGCTGGGATTATGGCTGTGAGCCACATGTCTGGCCTTTAAATGTTTATTTTTATTTTTAGAATAAAACGTGTGTGGAGTTGTGTTATATGTGCAAAACTTTTCAGTTTTACATTAAGCATTATAGATTTACTGTCATTTTAATTTTAGCTTATAACTTTTTTACATAGAAATCAACACAAATAGGATTCTTTGTGAATTAATCTATGTCAATTTAGAGGAAACATTGTTTATCTTCTTTGATGGGAATGGACTGGAGTCAGAAATGCAAAGTGAAGTTGTCTTCATTAATATTTTAAATCATTTTCAATTGTAAAAATCCTTTACAGTTTTACTGATTACTAACTTTTGTTCTTTTTTTTTTAAATGCAGATTTGAAACTAAAATAGATTCATTTCATATTACTGGCTTACCAGATAATTCAGAAAAACCCCGCCTCCTGTCTTCATTGGATGATGCAATGTCACTCTTCCAAATTACATTTGAGATAAATCCATTAGATGAAACTGTTACTCAGAGGTGTATCATAGAAGCTGAACCTTTAGAAATCATATATGATGCAGTAAGCATTTTTAAAAATTACTAAGTTTTAATATAATTTAGTTTGCTTTGAGTTTGTGATAATGATGTTTGTTTTAACAGAGGACAGTGAATAGTATAGTGGAATTCTTCAGACCTCCAAAAGAGGTACATCTAGCACAGCTCACTTCAGCAACATTGACAAAACTGGAAGAATTTCGCAATAAGACAGCAACAGGTAAATGCCAATATTAATGTTGGTGAATTAAATACTGTATCCTATATTAAACTTTTATTTATGGTAGAATATTTTTAGTAAAGTTTATTTTAAATTTGTGATCTTTCTAGACTGGTTTTAGTTAACAGAAACTAATTTAGTACTTTTATGTTTAAAGGCAGATAAAACCATAATCATTTTTTTACACTCAGAAAGTTGATACCTAGTAACCACATTTAAGTTAGTTGCAGAATTTTGCTGAGGATACTTGGACCACTATTTATGACAAAAACTGGCCTCTTGTTTTCCTTTCTTAGAATGCGTTCCAGATTTTGATATATCAGCCTCAGGGAAAAAAGTTCTATCCTTTTTTATTCTCTAGGAGAGTTTGAATAAGATCAGGTATTATTTCTTCCTTAAATATTTGGCAGAGCTTAACAGTAAAACCACTTGGTTTTGGAGATTTCTTTGTAGGAAAATTTAAGATTACAGATTGAACTTTTTAATTAAATAGTTGACCATAGAGATTATCTGTATGATTTTAATGCTTTGTAATTGGTTGGGACTTGTTTTCTAACTCTATATATGATGCTAAAAAAAAAATGTTCCTCATATGCTGAAAAGCCTGTCTTTTCATATCCGTACCTATTCATTAGGTATGGATTGTTAATCATGCACTTCAAATTTTTTGTATCCTTACTGAATTTTTTTTCTCCTTTTGTCACCTTGTTCTAACAGTTATTAAGAGAAATACATGAAAAATGCCTCGTTATCAATTGTAGATTTTTCTATTTCTAATAGATCTGTCAGTTTGTTTAAAAAAATAAATTTGGCTGGGCATGGTGGCTCACGCCTGTAATCCCAGCACTTTGGGAAGCTGAGGCGGTTGGATCACCTGAGGTCAGAGTTTGAGACCAGCCTGGCCAACATGGCAAAACCATAATAGAGATGGGGTTTTAATAGAGACCGGGTTTCACCAGCCTGGGCGACAGAGCGACACTCTGCCACACACACACAAAATAATAACAAAAATTTAAAAAAAATAAATGTTAAGGCTGTCATTAAGTACATGCAGGAGTAAATTATTTTTCCTCCTATAAACCAAATATTTCATCTGTGTAAAGTTGACCACCTATATTTTTAATGCTTCAATTTTTTTCCCTTTGCACTTTTTTACTTTATTTTATTTTTGATTTGATATCAGCATGAAGTACAAAGTTTCTTTTTGTTAGAATTTACCTGGTGTATATTTTTTCTTATATTTTTACTTTTTCCCTATATGTTACTTTTTCCCCAGATGTGTCTTGTCAACAACAGGTAATAGGATTTTTTCCAATCTAGATTTATGATCCTTATTTTTTATTTATATCTACTGTTTGCATTTAATTAATGTATTTAGGCTTATGTCTAACATCCTATTTTGTGCTTTTGAATTTGGTTTTCCTTGTTTTATTTTTCTTGCCTTCCTTTGGATAAATTCTAGGATGCCTTTCTTCCCCCTTCCCTACATTCTATCGGGAAGTTAAATATTCTCTGTCTCTCTTTATTTTAGAAATTACAGTATACATTTTTATAAAAATATAAATTTAAGGAAAAATTTTATATTCTCCTAGTCATTATATGGACTTTAGTACTGTTGAACTTTATATACCATCCCCATATACTAATTTTTTTACTTAAAAAAAACTTTATTGGACTATATGTGTATAGTTCATGGTAGTTTAGAATTACTTTTGCATTTACTACCTTCTTTGCTCTTCATTTCTCTTATACCTACACTTGTTATCTGATTTTATTTTCTCTCTGTTGGAAGTTCATCTTTTTTTTTTTTTTTTCCAACCTCCGTCTCCTGGGTTCAAGCGATTCTCCTGCCTCAGCCTCCTGACTAGCTGGGATTACAGGCACCCACCAAAATGTCTGGCTATTTTTAAAAAAAAAATTTAATAGAGATGGGATTTTACCATGTTGGCCAGGCTGCTCTCAAACTCCTGACCTCAGGTGATCCATCTGCCTCGACCTCCCAAAGTGCTGGGATTACAGGAGTGAGGCACCGTTCCTGGCCTGGAAGTTCATTTGTAAACTTCCCTTGTAAATATTTTATCTTGTAAGAATCTGCTGGTGGCAAATCTGTGCTTTTTTTTTTTTTGATACAGAGTCTTGCTCTGTCAGCCAGGCTGGGGTGCGGTGACATAATCTCGGCTCACTGCAACCTCTGACTCCTGGGTTCAAGCACTTCTTTTGCCCCAGCCTTCTGAGTAGCTGGGATTACCGGGGTATGCCTCCATGCCCAGTTAATTTTTGTATTTTTGCTAGAGATGGGGTTTCACCATGTTGGTCAGGCTGGTCTGGACCTCCTATCCTCAGGTGATCCATCTCCCTCAGCCTCCCAAAGTGCTGGGATTACAGGCATGAGCCACCATGCCCCATTGCATATTAGTTTGGCATGATACTACTGCATATAGAATTAAAGGTTGATGTTCATTTTCTCCTTAACACATTGAAGAGGCCATTCTGTCTTTAGGTTTTCATTACTGATGTTGAGAATTCAGGTGTCAGTGTGTCTGCTTTTTTTTGTACGTTACCTACCCTTTTACATTCAAGAACTCGTTATCTTTTGTATTCTGTTGTTGCAATTTGGTGTATCCAGCTATAGATTTGCTTTATATATCCTTTTTGGGATTCATTAGATTTCGTGAATCTGAGTACTGGGATTTTTAATGAATTTTAATGATTTCCAGAAAATCTATCTGGAAAATTCTTAGCCACTAACTCTTTACATATATTCTCTTCTGGAATTCTGGCTAAATGAATTTTAGCCTTTTTTACTCCATCTTCCATTCTCCTTAACTTCTGTATCCTGCTTTCATTCCATCTGTTCTTCTCTGTGTTACATGCTGGGTCATTTCTTCTAATTTATCTTCTAGTTTACTGAGTCCTTCTTTAGCCATGTCCAATGTGGTATCAGATCTCTTCATTAAGTTTAGTATCAGTGATTATATTTTTCCCTTTAGGAATTCTGTTTGGTTAAATTTAAAATCTGTGTTGTCATTCTTTTTTGGTTTTGTATTTCCCATGGGTATCTTTACACTTGTCGTCTTTTTTTTTTTTTTTTTAGAGATCATAAGTACAGTATTTTATATTCTGTCTCACCAGTTAATTCTCTCTCTCCAGATAGTCCGTTATGTGAAGGCTCTTGTGGTTCTCTTTTTCCTATCTTCTGTCTTTTGTTTCTTTTGATTCTTACTCATGGTAATGTGTGTCTTTTTATGCTTGCTAATTTTTCATTGTAATCTGCTCATTTTCCTTAGAATGTTATTTGGGAGAATTCTCTGAAGCCTGAGATAATTGAGCCTTCATTCAGGGAAGATTTATATTTCTTCTGCCAGGTACCTTGGGTATGTTGGTGGCATAACTAAATTCATTGCTTAAAATATTCCGGACTGCCAAAGAATTGTTGGGCTACATACCTCCTTGAGGAATATATCATAGTTACAATTCACAGAGGTATTACCTTTTTCTTCTAATTTTTCTCAGGGCCTTTGTTTGCATCCCCCTGTGAGTGTGTTTTAGGGAGAGGAAGGTTTAACTTCAGGATTTTTCTTTCTTTGAGTGAGTGTCCTTTAGTATTTCAGATTTGTGAGGAGAACTCTTGCTAGACTCTCCATCTTTATCTTCTGTTTCCTCTGTTCTGAAAGGCTGAAATTCTCATTGGAGTAAGATCCAATTTCATTGTCAAAGTTTTAAAATTCTGGTTTTGTTAAGTCTGGAGTACACTTCTAATTGAACTCAGAATTTGTCCCGTTTTGGTGGCTATAAAATCTGGCATGAAATTATAGTTTTTCTCTTGCCATTTTTATTATATTCACTTTATCCTTGTTGGTAGATATGAGATGCAGTATCTGTCATTTTCCTTTGTTCTCTCTCCTAAGATAAAATAATTTAGATAAGTGAGTGAAGAAATCACTTCACATTTTGATAAGACCTTCAGGAAATGTCTAACTAGTTGTCTTTTGTTAGGCTATATTGTAATATGCATCTTGATTCATTATTAATTTTTCTTTTTTTTCACGGAAAAGTGTGATTCTTCAAAATACATGTGTCTTTCCTCTCTGGCTTTTGCTCATTTTTCTCTACTATTTTTATATCCGAATGGTTTTAAATTAGATCGTACGTGAATACCTTACCTCTAGAAACTGTAGGGTTTGCATTTATTCCTGTATTCTTTGTTAAAATCTGGGAATTCCATTTCTAGTTCACCTTGTGTATATTGGTATATTATATACTGAGTAGAAACCAAAGCATAAGATCAGGCTACTTCTAGTCAGTTGTTCTTGATTGATAGAAACTCATAGTTAAATACAAATTAATCATATTGGAAACACACTACAGACATCCAGATTTCGAGATATTTTTATCTCAAGATTTGTTTTCCTAAACTTTATTACTTAAAAAAATTATCAAACAGTAAATATCCACAATATAAAGTTCACATGTTACAGAAACATGTTTTAGAAAGTGGAAGTCTTCAGTATTTTACCTTCTGTACATAATAACCTCTAAAATTTGAAGTCTGTTCTTCCAACTTTGTTTTCTTTTCTACACCAATAGTATAAAAATGCTAATTCTATGAAAAAAATGGAAAGCTTCTATGATAGGTTTTTGTGCTTAATTTTTAAAATTTAACGTATTTTGGATTTTTTCTAGAAAGTTAAAATTTACCTATTTGTGAAGAGACTCATATATGTTATAATGACTCAGGTTACTTAGGTTCTTTCCTTCCCTCATTTTCCTCCTTTCTTCCTTTTATTTTGTTACATTCTCCTCTATTAATATCCTGGTTTCTTTCTTGTATTGTAGGTTGAGTATCCCTTAGCAGAAATGTTTGGGATCAGAAATATTTCAGATTTCTTTGGATATTGGAATATTTGCATTTTACTTACTTGTTGAACATCCTTAATTGGGAAATATGAAATTCAGAGTGTTCTAAGAAGCGTTTTCTGTGAATATGATCTTTGAGCATCATGTTATTGTGGTGCTGAAAAAGTTTTAGATCCTTAAGCATTTTGATTTTGGATTTTCAGATTAGGGATGCTCAGCTTGTTATTTTCCCCTTCCTTTCTAGGAACTCAAGGTCTTTCAGGTCTTTTTGTTGTCAAGTATGGCATGAGCTTACAGAACCTGCTCGACTAGTTATCCTTTATCTCTGGCAGGAAAACAGATGTGATCATTTGCTAAAACTCTTCTTTCAGAGTACAAGGTTCTTTGATAGGATCATAGCAAATCATTTTCTTTCAGTTACTTCATTTATTTACTCATTTAAATATATATCAAGAGTCTAATCTATATGTCAGACACTGTGCTAGGTTTTAGGGAACATAGCAATGATCAGAATGGATGTAGTTCTTGCCTATTGATGGATGTTAAACTTTTATGGATAGGACAAATATAAAACTAAGAGCAATCTACTGGAAAATTTTGATTAATGCCGTATGAATCCAATCAGGAGAGTAAAACCACACAGTAATTTTGATAGGTATATTTAATGTAATGAATTATTAACTGTAATGAGGGATTGTTTTGTTACTCCAAAGAGTAAATTTAAAGAATATAGCAAGGGGCCAAGTGCTGTGGCTCATACTTGTAATTCCAGAGCTTTTGGTGTCCGAGCTGGGAGGAACACTTGAGGTCAGGAGTTGGAGACCAGCTGGGAAAACATAGTAAGACCCTGTCTCTACAAAAAATTACAAAATTTGTCAGGTTTGGTGGCGTGTACCTATTGTCCCAGCTACTTGGCAGGCCAGAGACTGGAGGATTGCTTGAGCCCAGGAGGTCAGGACTGCAGTGAGCTATGATAGCAACTCCTACGTTGCAGCCTAAGTGACAGAGTGAGATGCTGTCTCCAAAAATACATGTATTTAAGAAGAGTAGTTACAAGGAATATAGAATTGAGACAGTGTTCCCTAGAAAGAGGTCTCTCTCTTCCTGAGAATTGAAATCCACACCTTGTTGGAGAAGGAACCTCTGTGAGTCACTGAATGGCAGAAAAGCCATGCTGGTATCTTTCTGGTACCTGCTCTCTAAAACTTTCTGGAAATCCATCCTCTGAGGTGAAAAGGGAAAAATATTCATGGGGCAACGTCTCACTGCCCTCGTTCTGCTGTGAAACCACCTGAGGAGGCTTCTAGGGGCAGAATACTGGCTTTTGAGTGCTGTTGACCCTTGTGCATGGCATGCGTTGTGTTGGTGGAAGGCGCAGTGTTGCAGGATATTGCTCAATGAGTGTACTGGAACCAGGAAGCAAACTCTTTTGTCCTGCAGTGCCTCTCCTGTGTTCGTTATCTATTTCAGTGCTAGTTGGCAAAGAAAAATCATTTAAGCAACTCAGATCTACTTTCACAGAGCAGACAAGTGGGTGAATTTGGAGCTGAGTGAGGAAACAATTCTATAATCAGCCCAAATGCTGTTAAGGAAATGAGAATGATAGATGCCCCAATTTAGTTTTGGTGGTAGTGTCAGAGAAGATCTCTGAAAATTCAACATTAAGACCAGATATATTTGTAGGATCCACACTGCTAAAGGGTATAAGAAAGAGCCTTCAAGGTGATGGTCAACTGTGAAGAGCTTAACTTAGCAAACAATTGGGTGAATTTGGAAGTTGTAGACAGCTGAATTGGTTCTAATGTAATGAGTGAGGGGAGAGCGGAGGGATGTTAAAGATGCGTATTCTTGATTATGCAAACATGAAAATCATATTAAGCAGTTAGGATTTTGTTGTAAGTGCAATGGAAAATAGGGGAGAGACCCAATACACTTAAGCTCAAAATAAAATACTCTCCACTCTCTTCCATTGAAAATAACTTAGAGAAATCATTGTGTCCTGGCATCAAGAAAGGCTTTGTTGAAACTAAGGCTTATGGTAGAACTTCCAAGGAGTACCAGAACTTTGATTTGTAGAGGCCAGAATACACGAGGAATCCTTAGACTAGAGATGGAAATGAAGATAGAGAAATGCTTAACAGACAGACTCTGGAGAATCTTGAATGTCAGATTGACCCTTCTGGATGCTTCTTAATACTTTAGTAAAATCATGCCATCTGTGTTTGAATCAAAATCATTTGGAGAAAAAGAATGAATAACTATTTGAGTCAATTCTGCTCTTAAGTTTCAGGCTAATTGGATGATCTTCAGAATTTTTGATGATCTGTCAGTCTGTTTTCAAACCTCTATCTCACCTCACCTCCCATCCTCATTTAGACAGTTCACTTGAATTTGCTTCTTATAGGCTATGGGAAATGCCAAGGTTTTTTCTTCCTCTCTCTACTAGAGTCTTGCTTGGGCTGCCTGGGCAAGGCCACTGGAATCCCTTAAAGATGACACAGTTTTGATAACAGTTTCTCATATTTCAGGGAAGAGCCGTCCCAGATATAATTTGTGTTATTTTTATAAAGAATACTGGAGGCAGCGTAATTTGTGAAGAGGTTTATTTGTTTCATGGTTCTACAGGCTGTACAAGAAGCATGACTGCAGCATCTCCTTTTGGTGAGGGTTTCAGAATGCTTCCACTCATGGCAGAAAGGGTTGGGGAGCCCACATGTGCAGAGATCACATGGCAAGGGAAAGGAAGGAGGTGCCAGGCTCTTTTAAACAACAAGCTCTAACTCACAGAGCAAGGACTCACTCATTACCATGAGGACAGCACCCAGCCGCTTGTGAGGACTCTGCCCCCGTGACCCAGACAGCTCTTATTAGGGTCCCACCTTCAACATTAAAAATCAGGTGTCAGCATGAGTTTTGGAGGGGTGAAATACCAAACTGTAGCACAGACTTAGATTATTTATTTTCTATTTTAATTTAAATAGATATTTAAAACAGAAGGTATTTTAATTTCTTTTAATTTATTCATTTTCTTTCTGTTGGCTTGTATATCAAGATGATTATGTGTTGGTACTTGACACTTGTTCGGTGTCTGCTTTTAAGCTTTATAATTGTGTATATATATTTATTTGTAATTTTAAGTACATTAAAATTGTTGACATATTCTTTAATTTGAACATGTATTCTTTAATGATAAATTCTTAACTTTAAAGGTTATATTAAAAGGTACCGACCTGCCTACATTTTGTGTGTGTGTGTGTGTGTGAAAAAATGTGCCTTTTTGTTTGAGTGTCAGATCTTTTTAAACTTTGTAAGTCAAATATCTTTTATTTACTGAAACTGATTTGATGGCTGCTCATATAATTTTTTCTTTAAGAAAGGGTTCTCATCTCATAGAAAATAATTTGTTTAGATTTAAAAGCTGACGCTGGACTTAGGGACATAAAATAGATGACTTTGGTATACTAATCACAGGCAAGTGAATGAATTAAATTTATTAAACTAAAAAACTCCAAGTGAATGAAGGACCTAGAGAATGGGAAACTCTGGTTTGTTGCCTTTTCTGGTTTACATATGATTTTATTGAAGGTGATATGATAATCCAGGATTTTTTATATTCTCAGAATAATAGTAAGATCAAGTATTATTGTTCAGTATGATAAGTGTAGCTCTATGAAGTTTATGATTTGAGAAGTATCTATGTAGATTCTAAGAGTTGTTGTGAATAAATGTTTTATGCCACTGAAACTTTTTTTTTTTGGTCTATATCTTTCTTCCCAATTTTACCCAAATTGAGTTTATAGGTTAAAAAATTTATTTTGAGGAATCACTCCAATTTTGTATTCAACTATATTTAAATAAGAGTGCATGCATTGGTAGATATTTTAAATTTTATATTGGAAGTATTTTGCTGAGGTCATTTTAGAATTAATACTAATTTTACATTAAGATTGTTTTATCAGTTCATATATTTAGTGATTCTGTATTTCTCGAGTAATTTGTGAAAAGTATTCATAGAAAATATTTACATTTTTTCCAGGACTACTGTATATTATTGAAACACAGAAAGTTCTTGATCTCAGAATTAATTTGAAGGCTTCATATATTATTGTCCCACAAGATGGAATTTTTAGTCCTACATCAAATCTGCTTCTTTTGGACCTTGGTCATCTTAAGGTATCTACTAATAATATTTGATTTATGATATAGCATTTAGGGTGTTTCGTTGTTTAAAATGTATTTTGTTTTTTAGACAGTTTGATTTGTTGGGTTTTTTCCTGTATTTGTGGTAGATAAGTAAGATTTGAGAAATCTTCCTTTCTGATAAATAAAGTCTCAATTAGGTAGTTTTCCTACACTTATGAAGACAAAATGACTAATTAAACTCTGCAGGGTCAGGTTAGAATCTAAGATTGACTGACTGATTGATTGACTGATTGATTGATTGATTCATTTGAGACACAGTCTCACTCTGTCGCCCAGGCTGGAATACAGTACTGTGACCTTGGCTTACTGTAACCTCTGCCTCCTAGGTTCAGGTGATTCTCAGGCCTCAGCCTCCTGAGTATCTGGGACTACATGTGCCCGCCACCACACCCGCCTAATTTTTGTATTTTTAGTAGAGACAGAATTTCACTATATTGCCCAGACTGGTCTCGAGCTCCTGTACTAAAGTGATCCACTTGCATTGGCCTCCCTAAGTGCTGGGATTACTGGCGTGAGCCCCCACACCTGGCCCAAATCTAAGATTTATATTTTAGTATTTGAGAGTCATGCTTGAGAAGCTTATTTCTTTCTCAATTTAGATCTATTACTTGATTACTTAAAGTATATAGAATGAGAGAGAATTCTGGAAACAATCAAATACATCTTCATCTTTCTGAAATTTTTTGTATGTAAAATTATATATACATAGACATTTTAATATTTGTATTAAATAATTCTAAATTGAGAAATGGTCTTCCTCTGTTTACCTAAGTCATCTCCCTTTTTTTCTTTTTTTTTTTTTTTTTTGAGACGGAGTCTGGCTCTGTGGCCCAGGCTGGGGTGCAGTGGCGCGACCTCAGCTCACTGCAAGCTCCGTCTCCCGGGTTCATGCTATTCTCCTGCCCCAGCCTCCCGAGTAGCTGGGACTACAGGCCCCCTCCACCATGCCTGGCTAATTTTTTTGTATTTTTTAGTAGAGACAGGGTTTCACCGTGTTAGCCAGGATGGTCTTGATTTCCTGACCTTGTGATCTGCCTACCTTGGCCTCCCAAAGTGCTGGGATTGCAGGCATGAGCCACCACGCCTGGCCCTTTTTTCCTAATTATATACTTTTTCCTTTCCAAATTTCCAGAAGAGAATACATTTTTTTGTGGTATTCTAGATCTGTACTCTTCACTATAGTACCCACTGGCCAGCCACATGTGGTTATTTAAATTAATTAGAATTAAATAAAATCAGTGTCTTAGTCATATTAGCCACATTTAAGAGTTTAATAGTCAGAAGTGGCTAGTGGCTACTGTATTTTTTGTTTTTGTTTTTGAGACATAGTCTCACTCTGTTGTCCAAGCTGGGGTGCAGTGGCGTGATTTCAGCTCACTGAAACCTCTGCCTCCCAAGTTCAAGTGATTCTTCTGCCTCAGCCTCCCAAGTAGCTGTGATTTCAGGTGTGTGCCACCATGCCCAGCCAGTTTTTGTATTTTTAGTAGAGATGGGGTTTCACCATGTTGGTCAGGCTGGTCTCGAACCCCTGACCTCAAGTTATCCACTGGCATTGATCTCCCAAAATGTTGGGATTACAGGCGTGAGCCACTGTGCCCGGCCTGTATTTGAAAGCATTGATAGAGAACATTTCCATTATTGTAGAAGTTCTATTAGACAGCATTGCTGTAAATCATTAAATATAGAGGAATATCTATCACAATTTAAAGAATCAAGAGAGGTGGATAATATTAGAATGCTGTTTCTGGCCACCTAACAAAAATACGTGCCTGTCGTTGATACTGACATCTTCCCTTATCCTATTTTTTAAAATTCTGCATTTGTTAATTGTGTAAACACCCACTGGGTATATATTTATAATAAAATTTATACAACTTGTTATTCATATTTGAATTTTCAGTTGTTTCAAGGACAGTGTGGTATAATAAAGCATAAGGTTAGGAGTAAGGATATCTAATTTTATGATTTTAGGCAATTTGCTTAACCTGTTACCTAAAATTGATTACTTTTCAAACAGAGATAATCTTTTTTTGAGGGTTTACTTCACATGAGCTATATAGAGGGAAAAAAAGTTAAAAAATATATGTGTACACACATGTATTTTTATGAGTAAGAGCTTTATGTACTATTGTGGAGTCATCTCCAAGATGTTTAAGTGAGAAAAGTAATGTGCACAGTATGCCAAGAAAGGAGAGATGCAAATATAACTTGCCTGGAGTTGCATAAATGGCAGAGTTGGAACTAAAATTCAGTTATCCTATTTAATTCTGGACTCTTTTACTTCTTATTGTAAAGCTATATCAGTATTTGTCATCATGCTGCAGGAACATTTTATAAGCTAAATTTGTCTCTTGATCTTGCTCTTAATGAGAAGGCCTCTTATCACATTAAAAAAATTTGTACATGTATTATTCTTTAGGACCATCTTGGTTTCTTTCTTTTAATGTAAGTAAATGGGAAATATATCCTAATATGTAAAAATTTACTTTCTCTCTCTCATTATATATCTCATGGATGAGGACCTTTCTAATAGCCTTATTGTGTATGCTTACTTGTGAATTTATCCTCTCATATTAACATTTTGTATTATAGGTCTAAAAATTAAAACTTTATACTTACATTTTGAAGTATTTTGCATAGTCTAAACTATTAAAATTAACTTGAAGGTGACAAGTAAAAGTCGTTCTGAATTACCAGATGTGAAACAAGGTGAGGCCAATCTTAAAGAGATAATGGATATAGCTTATGATTCCTTTGATATTCAACTTACAAGCATACAGCTGCTTTACAGTAGAGTTGGTGAGTATAAAATGCATTATTTGTTGATTGATTTTGTTGAAGTGATTAATTAGGTTTTCAGGCACTTTGAAGACCTTCCTCCTAAATGTGTTAGAACTTCTATATTTTTGAATTAGAAATGATAGTAAATATTGGTTAGCTGTTCTTACCAGGAGCAGTCTTGCCCCTCAAGAGACATTTGTTGGTATCTGGAGACATCTTTGGTTGTCACAGGTAGAGCGTGTGTGGCACTCCTAGCATCTAGTGGGTGAAGGTGAGGGATACTACTAAGCATCCCACAATGTACAAGCCAGTCCCTCATGACAAATATCAGTAGTGCTGAGGTCGAGAAATCCTGATCTATATCAGTGTTTTTCAGCCTTTGACCAAAGTTGGCCCATATTGAAAATGATATTGGTATTACTACACAGCTGGATAACCAGAAGATATTGCTCAGGGCCAGAAGTAAGCAGCCTGGGGACTCTGACAGTTATGGACAGCCATACAAAGACTGACGAGGGTCACTCTCCTTGGCATACTTGTGTCTCATTCACTGTGGTGTACCAGTCAGGAGTCTCTGATTTAGAGCTAGTTTTTAAGATGAAGTCAAAGCCAGAAATTCACATGACAAGAGCCTTTTAAGTAGTTAGGAAGAGACCCCAGACTCATTCAGCTTTCTTTTCATTCTGTTATACTGCTTTTGAATCCCTAGAGTGTTAGTGAACATGCAGATAATTCAATAAAGTTTGATCTGTTGAAGAGATCCATATGTAGAGATCTATGTGTGTGTATGCGGTCAGATTTTAATTACCTGAGCTAACCAATAAAAGGAGAAACAATGAGAATCCAAAGTAGTTGTTTTCAAAATTGTTAATTTGACTGAAACATTTTATTTCTTTAATTATATTTGCTTCAGGATACTGAACGTAGTTTGTATTTTTATCATATTCTAATTGTGGTGGAGGAAACCCAAAGGTATAGTGGGTGGCAAAAGTACATTATTTTTAAAGTCCATAAATTCTTTTCAGGGAATAAATTACAGGGTTTGGTTTTCCTTGACTGGAATTTTATGACTCATAGAATTATTGGGTTCAAATGAGATAGTATATGTGAAAATGCGTTATATGACTGAGATCACATTAATCTTGTTATGAATTTTTAAAGTTATTTCTTTCTGATTATACCTATTTTAGAAAATCTGAACAATTCAGAAACCAAAAAGATAAACCTTTATGTTCCTGCTTAGGCAAGAACACCATTGATATTTTGTTGCATATTCTTTTAGTATGCTTTTCAATGTATGTGCCTGTGAATATGTGGGATGTGCTTGTTTGGTGTTATATTGGAAGCATTTGTGAATGTATTTTTTTTACACGATTTATACAGTTTTATATCCAGATTTTTTTTCTTTTACCAGTAATATTTTGGTCACTTGAACTCATGGTTTTTATTGTCTATATGACGCTATATGGCTATGATCTCAGTTATTTAACCATTCCCTTATGGAACATTTAGGCTTGTAACTCTGCAGTGATTGTTGCCAGGGGGGGTCATATGTTAGTAGACCTCAATTTTATCACTAGCAGATTGATCACAGGCAAGTTATAAATTCTTTTGAGTCTCAGTTTTCTAAAGTGGGATTATTATATATCATTTTGAGAATTAACATTTCAATATTGCCTAGAAGAGTAGAAATTATAAATTAATAAATGATAGCTTTTATTAGTTACTGTTAAAGAACCTCACTTTTTACTACCTTTTGCATTATTGCCTTACTGCCATGTTACTTTTTTGGGTAAGGTATGTGGTTGGTGTAGTGATTGTCAGTGGGTGTACAGTAGATTTGATAACCTACTGATTGTGTGTACCTGAGAATGTGACATTAAGATTACCTAGATGTGGGGAAATTTTCTCATATAATGGAATGTGTGACTATAAAGTATTAATAGTAATTTTAGGTTTTGTGTGTTTTTCATATTATAGTTACATTAAATATGTTATTAAATATGAACCATTTTCTGTACTTAGGTGATAATTGGAGAGAAGCACGAAAACTCAATGTATCTACCCAGCATATTTTGGTACCCATGCACTTCAATTTGGAACTGTCTAAGGCCATGGTTTTCATGGATGTAAGGATGCCCAAGTATGTATTGTTTGTTGCGTGTGACTGTGGATTTTCTGGGTAATTCTGTAGCTAGGGAAATACCATACTTAATGTGTGTGTGGTAAAATGTATATAAAATTTACCATTTTGACAATTTTTAAGAGTATACTTCATTGTCAGTAGGTTCACACATGCTGCTGTTATGCAACCATCACCACTGTTCATTTCCAGAACTGTTTCTCTTCCAAACTGAAACTCTATACCCAATTAAGCAGTAACACCCCATTCGCCCTGCACCCAGCCCCTGACAACAACCATTATATCTTCTGTCTTTATGAATTTGACTATTTTAGGTACGTCACATAAGTGGAATCATAGAAAATTAGATTTTGTGTGCCTGGGTTTCTTCACTTAGTATAATGTCTTCAAGATTCACCATGTTGGAGCATATGTCAGAATTTCATGTATTTTTAAGGCTGATTAATATTCCTTATATGTATACACTCTGTTTTATTTATTCATCCTTCAGTGGACATTTGTGTTGTTAATGATGTTTGGCTGTTGTAATAATGCTGAGGTACAAAATATCTGCTTAAGTCCCCGATTTCAGTATTTTCGGGTATATGCTCAGAAGTAGAATTGCTGGATTATATTGTAGTTTGGTGTTTAAGTTTCAGAGGAGTGCTGTTCTGTTTTTTATAGCAGTTACACCATTTTACTTTCCTACCAGCACAAGGGTTTCAGTTTCTTCACTGCCTCTACAACACTTGGTATTTTCTGTTTTTTTTTTTTATTTTTATTTTTTTATTTTAATAGTCATCCTAATAGGTGTGAAGTGATGTCATTTTCCTAATGCTTAGTGATGTTGAACATCTGTTCTTGTGTTTGTTGACCGTTCATGTATTTATTTGGAGAAATATGTATTCAAGATCTTTGCCCATCTTTTAATGTGGATATTTATGTTTTTCTTTTTTTTTGAGATGGAGTCTCACTCTGTTGCCCAGGCTGGAGTGCAGTGGTGTGATCTTGGCTCACTGCTACCTCCATCTCATGGGTTCAAGTGATTCTCCTGCCTCAGCCTCCTGAGTAGCTGGGACTACAAGCGTGTGCCACCACACCCGGCTAATTTTTTGTATTTTTGGTAGGGACGGAGTTTCACCGTGTTAGCTAGGGTGGGCTCGATCTCCTGACCTTGTGATCCACCCACCTCAGCCTCCCAAAGTACTGAGATTACAGGCATGAGCTGCTGCGCCCGCCTGAGTTGTGAGAGTTTTAAAGTATATTTTGGATATTAATTCTTTGTCAGATATATGATTTGCAAATATTTTTTCTCACTCTGGGTTTCCTTATCACTCTGTTGACTGTGGCCTTTGATGTCTAAAAGTTTAAAATTTTTATTGTCTAGTTTATCTTAGTTGTCTATGCGTTGGTGTCCTATCCAAGAAATTATTACGAAATCCAATGTCATAAAGCTTTTCTTCTTTGTTTACCTTAAAGAGTTTTATAGTTTTAGCTTCTTTTATTTAGATCTTTGATCCATTTGAGTTAATTTTTGTATGTGGTATGTAGAATAAGGACCCACCTTTATTCTTTTGCATGCAAATATCTCATTTTCTCAATATAATTTGTTGAAAAGACTGTCCTTTTCTCATTGAGTGGCCATGGTGCCCTAGTTGATAATCATTTGTCCATATAGCAAGAGCTTATTTTTGGGCTTTCTGTTTTATTTCATTGGTCTCTATGTCTTTATTTTCCTGTACCACACTATTTAGATTACTGTAGCTTTGTAGGAAGTTTTGAAATCAGGACATGTGAGTTATTTAACTTTAATCTTTTTCAGGATTGTCTTGGCTATTCAGGATTCTTTGATATTCCATATGAATCTTAGGATGGAGTTTTCTTTTCTTGCAAAAAATGTTATAGAGATTCTGATAAAGAGTGTATCAAATCTGTAGATCCCTTTGAATAGTATTGACATCTTAATAATGTTGACTGTTACAGTCCATGAACATGGACTATCTTTCTGTTTATTTGTGTCTTCTTTGATTTCAACAGCGTTTTCTGGGTCTCAGTACTAAAGTCTTTTGCCTCATTTCTTAAATTTATTCTTTCTGATGCTATTGTAAATGAATTAAAAAAAATTTTTTTGGATTGTTTATTGTTAGTGTATGGGAACTTAACTGATTTTTATGTCCTGCAACTTTGTGAATTTGTTTACAGTTCTAAGTTTTAGGATTCTAAAGTTCTAACAGATTTAAGATTTTCTACATATAAGATCCTATCATCTGTGTACAGAGGTAGTTTTTTTCCCTTTCTGATATGGGTGCCTTTTTTTCTCTTTCTTGCCTAATTGGTCTGTCTAGAATGTTTTAACACTCTCTTGAGTAGAAGTGGTTTAGGTTGGCATCCTCACCTTAATCCTGAGCCCAGAGGAAAAGCTTTCGGTATTTCACCATTGAGTATGATGTCAGCGGTGGGGTTTTTATGGATGGCCTTTATTATGTTGAGGTAGTTTCCTTCTGTTCCTAGTTTGCTAACTTTTTGTTATGAAAATGTGTTGAATTTTTTCAAATCCTTTCTCTGCTTTGAGATGACCATGTGATCATGTGAAAAATGATCAAGATGATTTTTTTTTTCCTTCATTCTCTTAATGCGGTATATTACCTTGATTGCTCTCTATATATTAAATCATATTTCTTGTGTCCAGCAAAAAATCCTTTTATTCTAGGAATAAATCCTCTTGTTCCAGGAATAAATAAATTCCAAGAGTAAATGATATATAAACCATTTAATGGGCTATTGATTTAGGTTTGCTTGTGCTTTTGTTGAGTTTTGCATTAATATTTTTCGGATATATTAAGACTGCAGATTTATTTTCTTCTAGTATCTTTGTCTGGCTTTGATATCAGGGTAACACTGTCTTTATAAAATGAATTAGAAAGGATTCCTGCCTCTTCGGTTTTTGATTGTTTGGTAGAATTCACTATTGAAGATCATGGGAGATTTTCTTTGTTGGGAGGTTTTTGATTACTGATTCAATCTCCATAGTAGTTTATCCAGATTTTGTTTCTTCATAATTCAGTGTTGGTAGATTTGTGTTTCTTGGAATTTGTTTCATTTAGATTATCCAATTTGTTGGTGTAAAATTGTTCATAATCGTCTCTCTCTTACAACCCTTTTTGTTTTGTAAAATGAGTAATAATGTTAACCACTTTCATTTCTGATTTAAATTGTCTTTTCTCTTTTTTTCTCAATCTAACTAAAGGTTTTCAATCTTGATCATTTTGAAGAACCAACTCACATTTTTGTTGATTTTTTCCTCTATTGTTTTTCTGTACTTTATTTTATTTATCTCTGCTTTCATCTGTTTTTTTTTTTTTTTAAATTTTTGCTAGCTTTAGGTTTAGTTTGCTGTTCTTTTTCTAGTTCCTTAAGGTGTAAAGTTAGGCTATTGATTTTAGGTCTTTCTTCTTTATTAATGTAGGTGTTTACAGCTATAAAGTCCCCTTTTGGCAGACTTTTGCTGCATCCTATGAATTTTGGTATGTTGTATTTTCATTTTCATTTGTCTTATTTTCTAACTTCCCGTGTGATTTCTTTGATCTCATTGCTTGTTTATCCGTTTTTAAATTTCTACACACGTGTGACTTCTACGTCTTTTCCTTCTACTCTTGCATTCTAGACTCATTTCATCATTATTAGAAAAGATACTTCTTATGATTTCACTGTTTAGACATTTTTTGACACTCGTTTTTTTACCTGACATATAATCTGTCCTGGAAAATGTTTCATATGCACTTGAGAAAAATGTCTATTTTGCTGGATGGAGTGTTCTATATACATCATTTTGGTCCAGTTAGTCAATTTTATTGGTCCAGTCCCCTGTTTTCTTATTAATCTACTTCCTGGTGGTTCTATTCAGTATTGACAGTGAGATATTGAAGTCTCCCATTATTATCATGGAACTGTCTGTTTCTTCCTCTTAATTCTGTCAGTGCTTGCTTTATATATTTTCGAACTCTGATGTTTGGCACATACATGTTTATAATTGTTATATCTTCTTGGTGAAGTTATACTTTCATTATCATTATATAATGTCCTTCTTTATTGCTTGTAACAGTTTTTGACTTGCAGTCTACTTTGGCTGTTTTTGTTATAGGCATTCCTGCTCTCTTTTGGTGATTATTTGCATGGAATATCTTTCTTCATTTTTTTTTTTTACTTTTAACCTGTGTGTTTTCTGTGATTTAACATGATCTCTTGTAGACAGTATGTACTTGCATCCTGTTTTTTAATCCATTTTGTCACTTTAAGTTTTTAATTAAGAAAAAATATATTTACATTTAAAGTAAATACAGAAGGGGAGGACTTACTTTTGTCATATTGTTATTTGCTTTCTGTATGTCTTATAGCTTTTTTAATTCCTCGTTTCCTCCTTTAATGCTGCCCTTTGTGTTCAGTGGATTTTTGTGTGTGACATGCTTTGATTCCTCTATCATTTCCAGTTTTGTACATTTTACAAATGTTTTCTTTGTGATTACCATGGAGATTATGTATCATACCCTCAAGTTATAACAATCTATTTATTATTTCTTTGTTTTTTTAGACAGGGTCTTGCTCTGTCGCCTAGGCTAGTGTTGTGATTGTAGCTCACTACAGCCTGGAACTCCTGTGCTCAAGTGATCCTCCTGCCTTGTCCTCCTGAGTGGCTGGGGCTACAGGCACACACCACTACACTCAGCTAATTTTTAAATTTTTTTGTAGAGGTGGGTCTTGCTGTGTTGCCCAGGCTATAACAGTCTATTTAAGACTTTTGAGGCAGGTTGCATAGTCTTATGCCTGTAATCCCAGCACTTTGAGAGGCCAAGCTGGTAGGATTGCTTGAGGCCAGGAGTTTGAGACCAGCCTGGGCAACATAGGAAGACCCTGTCTCTACAATAAGTAAATAAATAATTAAATAAAATTAGCTGGGCGTAGTGGTGCATGCCTTTAGTCCTAGCTACTTGGGAAGTTAAGGTGGGAGGATAGTTTGAGCCCAGATGGTTGAGGCTATAGTGGGTTGTGATTATGCCACTGCACTCCAGCCTGGGTGACACAAAGTTTAAAAAGTGAAAAAGAAAGTTGATACCAAGTTAGGTTCAATTGCATGCAAAAACTCTACTTGTTTCCTGTTTTGCCCCCTCCAGTTTATCTTATTGATGTCCCAGATTATATTTTTATATATTCTATACCCATTAACAAAGAATTATAATTATTTCTTATGCATTTGTCTTTTAATTTATGTAGAAAATAAATAGTAGAGTTATAAACCAAAATTCCAGTAACGTTTGCTTTATATTTGTCCATGTATTTATGTTTACTGGGATTATTATGTTTCATTGTTAGCTGAAGGTATGTGCCTGAGATCCTAAGTAGAGAAGTCTCTTGAACTAAGACTGGGCCATTTAGATGATTTATTTCTAAATAGTTTAGACTGTAGGTAGCCATTTAACTTCTTCCTTATAACAGCACCTTTTTTTCTCTCTTACAAATATTCAAACCTCAGGCACAGATGTATTTTAAAATTTAACCAAAGGCTTTTCTCATCTAACATCCAAACACTTCCAGGAGAGTTGCTACTAGCAAGGCTACATGAGAAGGCTTCATGCCTAGTTAAAGTGTACCAGGAAGAATAGAGGGAATTAGAGAGACCCTGGCCTTTTCCTGTATGGTACATGGTATGAACATTGTTTTTAATATTTACTATACTTAACATGTAAAAGGGAGAGACCTACACCCTTTTTTGTTGACCTTTACCTCATAGTGACTCTGTAACAAGCATTGTCCAGGGCCCTAAATCTTACTCTCCTAGATTTTCTTTTCTTAGAAAATCAAAGCATGCACTGAGAGTCTTGCGGAAGAGGAATGCCTGGAATTTGGTTTAAGAGACAGAAGGAAAGAAAACCATGCTGTGTATTCCCTTGTTTTTTTTCAAATCCAGCTTTAGATATGGTTCAATTTTAGAGAAAAGGCTTAAGTCTTTTCATTCCTCCCTCCTTATGTTCCCTGCTTGTTTACTCTTTTCTACTATTCTTGTGAAGTTTTTCATTCTGTGATGATAAAGATTAAAGATCTGTGTGATTTCTTGTTGTAAACATATGACTATGAATTGACATTTTTAAGCATAGTTTAAATACTTTCCTTCTTGGTAAGTTACAGGGTACTGGAAAAAGTAGGTGATCTTTCTCTGAGGGGAGAAAAGTGCAACTTTTATCTTCATTTGGACTTGCTCTATCAGTATATGATTAGGAAGAATTTAAGTCTCGTGATGCAGGGAATATGTATAGCATAGCAGGAATTAAAATAGCCGATTATAATAATATATCTATAATAATGTAATAAAGATTGATAATGGTTATAGATTCGGACCAGCTTATAGGTTAGTATAATTAAAATACAGGCCAGAAATGATAATGACTTAACTTAGAAAGATGAAATCTTAGAATTTATTTGGTTTCTATTTTATAATATTGTGAGCAATATAAAGTGGATATGATATGTTAAATCCTGGAACTTCACGAGTGTCAGGAACATTCCCTTGAAAATTGAGCTGCATTAATTTGAAGGCAAATAAAAGGATACTTGCTGTTTGGTAGGTACTGTTTTGGTACCCAGCATCTTTAGATTGCACAACTTGCAGATTTTTCAAGAAAGTGAAAATAAGTTTAAGTGCATTAAGATGATCGATTCATAATGTTTAATGAAGTTAAACTACTCTGCTTGTGATTAATTACAAATATTTAGGGTATTGGAAATAAAAGAAAGCTTGTAATTTTCTGTAGGACTCCAGTACAGTTTTAGAAAGATAACGTAAGTAATCAGTATGCATACATGGAAAAATAATTTTTAGGGAAAATGCAGGGATAAAAATGGGGAGTGAAAACTTTCTCTCTCTCTGATAGTGAAAACTTTCTCTTTCTCTCTTTCTCAAAGGAGACTGTCAAGGCAATTAAAAGAATAATAAAGCACTCTGATGTGATTTTGTCCCATGATCTTTGCTATATAGTCTCGTGAGCAGGCTATTTGCACTGCCAAACCTTAGTTTTCTTATAGGAACCATGTACATATAGGAACTTAAAATAAATAGAGAGCAAAAATAGGTTGTCTGCCTCATAGATTGTGAGGACTGTTTCCAATGATGCATGTAAAGTGCTTTCCTCAATGCCTGTCACATGAGAAACACTTGATTGGTAGTAATTGTCAATTGTATACAGTAAACAGTAGAAGAACATTACATGAAATAAAAACATAAACTTCTGAAAAATAATGAGGTTAGCCCATCTAATGAGACTGGTTAATAAGGTAAGACAGAAATTGGAGTAGAGATTTTTAGTGTTTAAAATCACATTTGATTCAGATAATTTGAGAACAGTCTTTTTAATTAGTGCACTTAAATCAGAATAATTCCTTTATAATTACTTATTTTTATCTTTTCAAAACAGATTCAAGATTTTTGGGAAGTTACCTCTTATTTCTTTACGAATCTCAGATAAAAAACTACAAGGAATTATGGAATTGGTTGAAAGCATTCCAAAACCTGAACCAGTAACTGAAGTATCTGCCCCTGTCAAATCATTCCAGGTAATGTGATTTTCAAAATTAATATAAACATGAATTAAGAAAGTCCACTAATAGTATTTGAAACAATCACAGGAATTTTATGTAAGACAGTTTGCAATTTGTTTTGAATAGACATTAAGAAAATTACATTTTAAGAGAGAAACTGAAATGGTAAAAATTATAGTTAAGAAAGATATAAAATAATAAATCGACTTTCCTAATTTTTGCTGCCTCCAATCCCTTTCCTGAGCGATAACACTGTTAACTACTGCTTCTCTAGTTTTTCAAAAAATATTTATGGCATATACTAGTACAGACATGCACAAGAACATGCATATGCATGTGTGTGTGTATGCAGCATGTGTATGTACACATACATGTATATATTCTTTTTTTTTTCCTGAAACAGAGCCTCCCTCTGTCACCCAGGCTGGAGTGCAGTGGTGCAATCTTGGCTCACTGCAACCTCTGCCTCCTGGGTTCAAGCAATTCTCTGCCTCGGCCTCCTGAGTAGCTGGGATTACAGGTGCCTGCCACCACGCCCGGCTAATTTTTTTTTGCATTTTTAGTAGAGACGGGGTTTCACCATTTTGGCCAGGCTGGTCTTGAACTCCTGACCTTGTGATCCACCCGCCTCAGCTTCCCAAAGTGCTGGGATTACAGGTGTGAGCCACCGTGCCTGGCCTGTATTCTTATATTTTTTAAATTAAATGAAATCATTATACTCACTATTCTGAATCTGTATTATTTTTACCATTATTATCATATATGCCTTAGGTAAATGTTTACGTTAGCACATACAGATCTACCTCATTTGTTTATGGTGATATAGTATTTCATTTTCTGCATATACCATCTTTTGCTTAATATATCTCCTTTTGATGGATAGTCACATTATGACCGTTTATAGTTATGAAAAATACTGCTTTGAACTTCCTCATATATATATACTTATATATATATATTTGCTTATACTTTTATTCATAGAATAAATTTCTAGAAATGGAATTGTTGAATAAAAGAGTGTGTGATTTTTGAATTTTGATTATTTTGCCAAAAACATTTTTTTTTTTTGGGACGAGGTCTCCCTCATTTGCTCAGGCTGGAGTACAGTGGCGCAATCTTGGCTCACTGCAACCTCCATCTCCCAGGTTCCAGCAGTTGTGCCATCTCAGCCTCCCAAGTAGCTGGGACTACAAGTGCGTGCCGCTATACTTAGCTGATTTTTGTATTTTTAGCAGAGATAGGGTTTCCCCATGTTGGCCAGGCAGGTCTTAAAAGCCTGACCTCAAGTGATCTGCCTGCTTTGGGCTCCCAAAGTACAGAGATTACAGGTGTGAGCTACTGTGCCCAGTCCAAATTTGCTTAACTTACAGTTTGCTAACGGTAAATGAATATCTTTCTCTGGTTTCATTACTGAGTATTAGCAAATGTTAAAATTTTATTTGAAGTGAAAAATGTTATCTTCTGGTTTTGATATGCTTTTTTAAATGAGTGGAACATACTTTCCTAAATTTACTAATTTAATTTCTGTTTTTGGAAACTGCTGTTCATGTCTTTTTTCTATTGGGTTATGGTTGTCTAATTAAGGAAATAACCTGTTTGTCATTTAAAATTCCTGTTTTTTCCTCATTTTGTTGTTTGATTTTTATCTCATATATAAATTTATTTTTGCCAGGCAAAAGCATTTTATTTTTTACATAGTCACTTTTTTTTTCCTTCATGATTTCTAGATTTGTATCATGTGACTTTTCCTTTTCTGAGAGAATTTCAGAAAGAAAAAAATATATTCACATTTCCCTCCATTTTTGGGGGGTACAGAGGGTTCTTTACTCATGTTTAAATGCTTTTATTTTGAAGTGGTTTCAAACTTGGAACATTCCAAAAATAGTGTTAATAACTTTTTTTTTAAAATTATACTTTAAGTTATGGTATACATGTGCATAACATGCAGGTTTGTTACATAGGTATACATGTGCCATGGTGGTTTACTGCACCCATCAACCCAGCATCTACGTTAGGTATTTCTTCTAATGCTATCTCTCCCCTAGCCCCCAACCGCTCAACAGGCCCCGGTGTGTGATATTCCCTTCCCTGTTTTCATGTGTTCTCATTGTTCAACTCCCACTTACGAGTGAGAACTTGCAGTGTTTGGTTTTCTGTTCCTGTGTTACTTTGCTGAGAATGATGGTTTCCAGCTTCATCCATGTCCCTGCAAAGGACATGAACTCATCCTTTTTTATGGTTGCATAGTATTCCATGTTGTATATGTGTCACATTTTCTTAATGCAGTCTGTCATTGATGGGCATTTGGGTTGGTTCCAAGTCTTTGCTGTTGTGAACAGTGCTGCATTAAATGTACATGTGCATGTGTCTTTATAGTAGAATGATTTATAATCCTTTGGGTATATACCCAGTAATGGGATTACTGGGTCAAATGGTATTTCTGGTTCTAGATCCTTGAGTAATCGCCATACTATCTTCCACAATGGTTGAACTAATTTACACTCCCACCAACAGTGTAAAAGCATTACTGTTTCGCCACATCCTCTCCAGCATCTGTTGTTCCCCGACTTTTTAATGACTGACATTCTAACTGGCATGAGATGGTATCTCATTGTTGTTTTGATTTGCATTTCTCTAATGACCAGTGATGATGACCTTTTTTTCATATGTTTGTTGGCCGCATAAATACCTTCTGTTGATAAGTGTCTGTTTGTATCTTTCACCCAGTTTTTGATGGGGTTGTTGGTTTCTTACTTGTAAATTTTTTTCGGTTCTTTGTAGATTCTGGATATTAGCCCTTTGTCAGATGGATAGATTGCAAAAATTTTCTCCCATTCTGTAGGTTGCCTGTTCACTCTGATGATAGTTTCTTTCGCTATGCAGAAGCTCTTTAGTTTAATTAGATCCCATTTGTCAATTTTGGCTTTTGTTGTCATTGCTTTTGGTGTTTTAGTCATGAAGTCTTTGCCTATTCCTGTGTCCTGAATGGTATTGTCTAGGTTTTCTTCTAGAGTTTTTATAGTTTTAGGTCTTGCATTTACATCTTTAATCCATCTTGAATTAATTTTTGTATAAGGTCTAAGGAAGTGGTCCAGTTTCAGTTTTCTGCATATGGCTAGCCAGTTTTCCCAACACCATTTATTAAATAGGGAATCCTTCCCCCATTGCTTGTTTTTGTCAGGTTTGTCAAAGATCGGATGGTTGTAGATGTGTGGGATTATTTCTGAGGCCCCTGTTCTGTTCCATTGGTCTATATCTGTTTTGGTACCAGTGCCATGCTGTTTTGGTTACTGTGGCCTTGTAGTATGGTTTGAAGTTAGGTAGCGTGATGCCTCCAGCTTTGTTCTTTTGCTTAGGATTGTCTTGGCTATACGGGCTCTTTTTTGGTACCATATGAAATTTAAAGTAGTTCTTTCAAATTCTGCGAAGAAAGTCAATGATAATTTGATGGGGATAGCATTGAATCTATAAATTACTTAGGGCAGTATGGCCATTTTCACAATATTGATTCTTCCTATTCATGAGCATGGAATGTTTTTCCATTTGTTTGTGTCGTCTCTTATTTCCTTGAGCAGTGGTTTGTAGTTCTCCCTGAAGAGGTCCTTCACATCCCTTGTAAGTTGGATTCCTAGGTATTTTATTCTCTTTGTAGCAATTGTGAATGGGAGTTCACTGATTATTTGGCTCTCTGTTTGTCTGTTATTGGTGTATAGAAATGCTTGTGATTTTTCACATTGATTTTGTATTGTGAGACTTTGCTGAAGTTGCTTATCAGCTTAAGGAAATTTTGGGCTGAGGCATTGGGGTTTTCTAAATATACAGTCATGTCATCTGCAAACAGAGACGATTCGATTTCCTTTCTTCCTTTTTGAATACCCTTTCTTTCTCTTGCCTGATTCCCTGGCCAAAACTTCTAATACTATGTTGAATAGGTGTGATGAGAGAGGGCATTCTTGTCTTGTACCAGTTTTCAGAGGGAATGCTTCCAGGTTTTGCCCATTCAGTATGATATTGTCTGTTGCTTTGTCATAAATAACTCTTAGTATTTTGAGATACATTCCATGAATACCTAGTTTATTGAGAATTTTTAGCTTGAAGGAGTGTTGAATTTTATCAAAGGCCTTTTCTGAATCTATTGAGGTAATCGTGTGGTTTTTGTCATTGGTTCAGTTTATGTGATGGATTACGTTTATTTATTTGCATATGTTGAACCAGCCTTGCATCTCAGGGATGAAGCCAACCTTAATTGTGGTGGATTAAGCTTTTTGATGTGCTGCTGGATTTGGTTTGCCAGTATTTTATTGAGGATTTTCACATTGATGTTCATCAGGGATATTAGCCTGAAATTTTCTTTTTTGTGTGTGTCTCTGCCAGGTTTTGGTAGCAGGATGAGGCTGGCCTCATAAAATGAGTTAGGGAGGAATCCCTCCCTCTTTTTCCATTGTTTGGAGTAGTTTCAGAAGGAATGGTACCAGCTTCTCTTTGTGCCTCTGGTAGAATTTGCTGTGAATCTATCTGCTCATGGGCTTTTTTTCATTGGTAGGCTATTAATTACTGCCTCAATTTTGGAACTTCTTATTGGCCTATTCAGGGATTCGACTTCTTCCTGGTTTAGTCTTGAGCGAGTGTATGTGTCCAGGAATTTATCTATTTCTTCTAGATTTTTCTAGTTTATTTGTCTAGAGGTGTTTATAGTATTCTCTGATAGTAGTCCGTAGTTCTGTGGAATCAGTGGTGATATCCCCTTTAGCATTTTTTATTTTGTCTGTTTGATTCTTCTCTCTTTTCTTCTTTATTAGTCTGGCTAGTGGTCTATGTATTTTGTTAATCTTTTTAAAAAACCAGCTCCTGGATTCATTGATATTTTTGAAGGGTTTTTCGTGTCTCTGTCTCCTTCAGTTCTGCTCCGATCTTAGTTATTTCTTGTCTTCTGCTAGCTTTTGAATTTGTTCTTGCTTCTCTTGTTCTTTAATTGTGATGTTAGGGTGTCAATTTTAGATCTTTCCCGCTTTCTC